CCCTGGCAACTCAGTTTCCCTCCCCAGAGGTGGTATCTCCTCCCAGAGATATTGTAGGCATATTCTAGTATGTGTGTATATTTTCTTCTTTTCTAAATAACATAATATTATACATACATCTCGCAACTTTTTTAAATAGTTAATTCTGCTGTATACACTTTCATTTATTTAGTTTCCATTTATTTTGATTACAAATAATGCCACATGAATATTCTTGAAATATTCATGAATGAATATACTAATAGGATACATTCCTAGAAGCAGAATCACTGGGTTAGAGGATATGTACATGAAAAATTTTAAATTATATTTTTATCACAAACTTTGATACCACAGATGAATAAATGCAACACATATGTAAGCTATAAAGCATAATAGTATAATGAATACTCATGGTTTTTACATTTTTATAACAGTTTTATTATTTCCATATGTGGTTTTAAGTACTATGTTGCTCAGTTTTGCTTATGTTTATTTCCCTTTAGAGCATTTGTTTTAGACAGTAACATAATCCTTAAAAAATGAATATGCATTATGTCTCTTAAGTAATAAATTGCTTTAACGAGTATTAAGTTCTCATGGTTAAACTTAAGATTCCAAATATGACAACAAGTGATCACATCAGAAGGGTCCTAAAGGCCTTATTTTCTGTTTAAAATCTCCTTCAAGTAATTTATATCAGCATTTAGACTGGGCTTCATTTCCGTTAAAAAGCAAACATACCCTGAATTTCAAAGTAGTTCTCTCTTTCTCTGTCTCTCTATGTAGTTTTGCTTATTTTTGAGATTTATAAAGAGTATCATATTTATGCAGTCTTGTTGGCCTTGCTTTTTTCACTCGATAGCCTCTAACACATTCATCCATATTATCCCTACAGGTATAATCTATCCATTTATTCTGCCGAGGATATTCCACAATTCAGTTATCTATTTCCCTGTTACTGAAAGGCATTTGGTTGTCTTGGTTTGGCATATCTATTTTAAATTTTCATAGTTATTTCCAAATTGTTCTTCTTTAAGGGTAGGCTACTTTTTCCCCACAACCACCGATAAACCAGAATTTACAGTAGCTTTTTGACTGAGTTTTGTTGTCACTTCTGAAGCAATATTCTAGATCTCAAAGCAGTCTAAGAAATGCCATCATGGATATTATTAAAGAGACTACTGCTCCAAGGAGGCCTCAGTGGGAGAGTGACGACCCTGAGACCACCCCCTCAGCCAGAGCTGTGTGGGGGGCTTGCAGATATCTGAGACATTTGTTTTATGACCTGGCAAGTTCTCTATCACTTGGTCTTTCATTTTGGCTGGTTTCCTGAATTTGTTAGATGGCAAATGAAAAGATATCTTTCTGCCTCTGAAAGAATTTATTGTGACACGGAGGGGGAGAAAAAGTCAGATTGCCACTGGGTAAGAGGAAAATAGAAGGTCAGGTCCCAAGGAGAAATCCTGCCTGTGGTCAGCAAAGGGACACCAGGGACAGCCTTCACTGTGGCCTTGGGCAGGCAGGGAATTTCTCATAGGAAGGGAAGAGAAAAGAGAGAGAGAGAGATCAGAGTCCAGATTTGGTGTTTATATTCCTTGAACAGGCACTGTTTCTCAGAATCCAGGTCCTCTGTGAGTAAGGAAATCACCTGACTTATTAACAGTTTTCCTGGGAGTATCCCAGGTTTGCCCTCACAGTAGCCCTTGCTGGAGATCCCCGGCTGCGTGGCCCTCTCCTCCCTCTTTTCTTGCCACTGAAGCAAAACAATACAAGAAGAAGACAAGGACCACAGAAATAGGGATTTGCATTTGCAGCTTACCAGCTGCTACTAATATGACTGGGGGTGAATTAGCTTCTTGTGTATCAACAGGGATATTAATATATTTGTATCATAGACATTTTCGTGCTTAGGATGGTTTGACTTAATGATTTTCAACTTTATGATGGTGCAAAGCAGTACGTATTCAGTAGACACCAAGCTGCGAGTACCCACACAACCATTCTGTTTTTCACTTTCAGTACAGTATCCAATAAAACACATGAGATATTCAACACATTATTATGTAACAGGCTTTGTGTTAGATGATTTTGCTTAACTGTAGGCTAATGTAAGTGTTCTGAGCACATTTAAGGTAGGTTAGGCTAAGCTATGATGTTTGATAGATTAAGTGTATTAAATGCATTTTTGACTTAGGATATTTTCAATTTACAATGAGTTTATTGGAATGTAACCCCATCATAAGTTGAGGAACATCTGTACCTACTTCGGTAGAATACTGAAACAGTAAATGAGGTACCATTTAATCATATCTTGTGCAGTTCCTGATATATAAGTACTCACTAAATATTACTTTCCCTTTTTTGTTATTTACTTATTATTCATTCATTTATTAATTCATTCATGCATTTAGAATTTATAAAGTATTTCCTGTGTCAGACAGCAGGCTTGGGCAGTACTGAAGATACAAGTTAACTAAGACACAATCATGACCCTCAAGATTTCTACTGTTTATTGGGGGTGACAGACAAGCAAGTGATCCTTTTGCTGGAGAAATGTGCTCTGAGAGGCTTTTGGAGGAAGTATGGGAGGATAGAAGGCGGGTATATATCCCAGGATCGGGGGATAGTGAGGAAAGAGTTAGGGAAAGCTTCTTGCAGGACATACTGCTTACACTGTGTATTCTTATAAAGTCATGGTATTGGGAGTAGAGCTGGAGGAAAAGGCATACTCAGTGGCCTGGAGATGGCAGAGATCTTGGCACATTCAAGGACATGAAAGGAATTTGGGGAACTGCACACAGATGCAGCTAGACATACGGATCTGCAGCTCGGGTCGGGGCTATGCATATAGATCTGGGAGGTCTCAGCAGACAAATGACTTTTCTGGGAAATGTCATTCAGGGCTCCTCCTCTTGGAGCCTCTGACCATGGTGCCTGTCTGCCCCTGGTAATGCAGATGGGCACTGAGGTGATGTAGGCTGCTGAGGGGAAAGGGCGAAGAGGGAAAGGGTATGAGAAGAGAGTTGATCTAATTTTAAGCAGCTTTTAACCATCTACTCTTCCTCTTAACTTCCCAGAAATGACGTGAAGATCTAAGAAAGTAGTGGGTACAAATAAACTTTGGAAAGTGAAAGCAGTTTAGTCAAGTCTGGGTTTGTAGAGCTTTTCCTTTCTCTTTTTCCAGGCCCTTCCCCCATCCCTACCTTCCTGTGGGGCTTTCTGTTTCCCAGTCACCCTGAACCTGATCTGCTATTTTCTGCCTGGAGACTGGTAATGTTTTCGAATCCTCAAATCATGCTGGACGATGGGTGAAGGGCAGCCCTTTTCTGCCATGCAGCAGCCAATGGTCAGAAACTGGGTTT